TTGGCTGTGCTTTCCTGGTTGACAAACTGAGATTAATTTTCGCAGTCCCTCCATTTCAGTTGGCAGTCCAAGCGGACCTGTCAATATAAATTTTACACTTGAAACGGAGCACGACTACTCACTGTGCTTCACCGTCCTAACCCTTTACTGAGAATAATGATTATTCTTGGCAATCTCAGCTGCAACTGCAACAGCAACAAGATCATCAACAAAACTACCAGCAGAAGCTGCCAAATGAAGAACAAGAAAGGGAGTTTTCTTTTGACAGTATCACGATTGACTATTTTCTTCTTACATCTTGTTTTCCCTAGATCAGGTCTTGAGATCCCACAAGGGCTTGCCATGGATGATATGTATTTCCTTACATGAAGTTTGGCTTAGCATGTTTTAATTAGCATTCGTAACTCCTTTATGAAAAACTTAAAAATTTTGATTACTTATGAGAAAGTCGACAAAAGTAATTAAATGGTGTTCTTGAAGTGTCTTACTCTTTTAGAATTGTCATAATGGAGCAATGGAAATGAGATGTTCTCTTTTCCCTTTTCTTCTGCTCAAACAACTTAAATCCATAAAACTTTCAGATCAGCAGCACAAGCCACAACAGAACAAGAAACAAAAACGTGGTTGCTTAGAAGTTGCAGTTGCAGCTGCAGTAGCACGACCGGCAATGAGAATGAAAGAAGTGTGGGTTTAATGGCCTTGTTTTCTTCCCAACTCTTTTCTTTAGGCCCATCATTTTCTTCCAAAGTTCTACGGACATGGTACCACTTTCTTTGCCAAGTATATCTATGAGATTGACGAAAATTAATAATTTTGAGTTAATAGATTTACGTAAATCTAAATGTTATTTACATTTAATGTTTCTCTAGCCTAACTTATAGTTGCACCTTGGAATCATTAGACATTTGTTATTATTCAAGCTAGCTTAAGAAGTTCTTATTACGATCAATTAGGGAGTTAAAAAAGGCTATCCAGTCAGGTAACTGCAACTACTAATCAGAGTGGCAGGTGGAAGAATCAGATGCGAAGAATCGAGTTATTGCCCTGAGTTCTGCGCTTTGGAAATTAGTTATCCCTGAAAAACTTGTTAAAGTTGTTTACATATATTGAAACACCATTGCTAAACTCTCTTATGCTTTCTTCAATCTAAAAGGGAGTTATATTAAAATCCAGGCTTGTCAAAGTTTTGGTAATAGGAAACTGCAACAGAAAATAGAGGGGGGTTGAGGAGCTTAATCCACTCCATCCATGCCTTTGAAAATTGACACCAAACATAAAATTAGTATCACTTACAATCACAATTCGACACATCCTTCCGAAAACATAAATATGTCCATAATTAACTAGAGCCATTTCATTTTCCTATCAAAGATCCCTAGTCCATAAGTTGAGATAAAAATCTTAACAAGAAGTGGAAACTCCAACCACACAAAGAGACCGATTGGTATGCCAGCCAGCAAAACGATCGGAATAGCAATCTCTGATTGGCCCTTTACCATGATAATGACAGTTGAGGAGAAAGCTACCATCATTGCTGCAATAGAAATGAAGAGGGAGGAAAGTCCAATGATCAATTTGTTAGGCAAAGATTTGAGGAAATCATGTGTTGTATATCGTGATGTGAGGATGCCAACGAATATCAACACCGAAGTGGTCGAAGCAAAGAGAGAAATAGCATCCGATATTATGAATATCTTAAAAAGTTTTTTTCTTAAGAGTAAGGGAACACCAGTGTCCTGATCAGGGCCTCCAGGAACAGTAAAAAGAGCA